CATTGTATCAAGCTACAGTCACGGATTTTCTTTGTTTTATATTCATTGATTATTATATTATAGCAAAACTGATTTCTACAATTAGTAACTTGATGATCACTATATTCTTGGCGTGCAAGTTACGTCATCGCCGCCATGTTGGATGAAAGTCACAAAGCATTCCTCATTAGTTTCTCTTGTTCATTCATCCAACATGGCGKCGATAGCTTTGTTCGTTATTTCTCAGGGGATTCCTGATCATGTGGTTGCACACGAAGAATACAGAGGTAACATCAATTCTGAAAAAGTTAACATTTATGTATGCATATATCGTAATGTGCACAAGTTTTATTATAAAGCTTGCTAATTTTTGAGTTTCATAATGATAAATGACAATCAAATGAATTTCAGTCAAAAGTTTTGGCGATTTCTACAACTTCTTTTTCTATTAAGCATTACCCATAATGCACCCGATATGTGTATTTAGAGATATTGTTGAAATTTTCAGAATGTTTTGAAAAAACTCTATTTAATATTTATAATTGTTATACATAACCGTTATGATTGGCTTATGAGAAAATACACTTGAAACTACGATACATTTAAAGCTTCGCCATTGTCGCCGGCTTCATGAATCAGTCCTTCAAAGTTAATGTTACTTGGTGTAGCGACCAAGATGGAAAAAGTGCGCGTAATTTAATGTCTACTTGCATGCACGTTGTAAGACTTGAACTTTGAATCGATAGAATAGATAGAGMGAGGTATCTGAAATTTTTCTTAGGCAGCTACAACTCAAATTCATCCGAAGTTCTGTATTCGAGCCCCTGTACCGTTCCAATGAATCCGCCTATGCAAAGTTTGCCTACATCAAAAACACCCAACTGTTCTACTCCTAGATATGGTCATAGGCTCCTCTGCGGGTATGGTTTCCTCTTATTTTCATCCTTGGGCTTCCTTTTTTTATTTCAGAGAGGGACTGAGAACGTAAATAGGCTACCTGAGAATGTAAATATAGGCTACCCGGCCATGCAGAATAGAGAGGAATACAGTGATTCGTGAAGAATAGGCTTAGGCATATTYTTTCAGCTAGACATTTTAAAATTATTTTGTTTCGAAAATAGAAATTATTTTCTCCTGCTTTCCACCATTCAAATAAACAGGTGAAGGGCGTCACCGAATAATAGAGCATTCAATTGAAAACTCACTTTTAAGTGATCGATGTGAAAACGTTTTTTTAGTCTTTTTCTTCTTTTTTTCCTTTTTTTTTCAATGGATACGAGTTGCGTATATATCCGCAAACCCCATGTAAAGCTGAAATTTTCGAAAAAAGTTTCCAGATTTAAAATACCTGGAAACTATTTTATTTGCCAAACAAWATGCGGGGCTTCGTGTGCACAACTAACACTCAACAACTGTGATAGCAACAAACAGCAAGCTCAATGAACTCGGCTGACGATTAATTATAAATGGCGATAAAACTGCTTACTTTTTGAGGATCAACTCATGTTCCTGCCAGTCGAGTCATATCCTCTGCTGTCAGAGAAGGTTCTGTGATRATGCGAATCGGCATTGTTTTGACTGTAAGGAACTATAGAATTTCGATAGAATGATAACTAAGGTTGTACTCAGCTTTTTCAAATTAAAAACATCAATCACTGAGATTGCTAATCTAGGCAACCACAGCTCTTTTCAATCTCCATTCTACAGTTTTTTAGCATTTCTGCCGGTGAAGCTCTTTTGAAATAGATAAATTGAGCACGTTCTTCGACGATATGGCGTCCATTTTGGCAGGGATCTCATACAAAAAGACATTTTACCTGGATTTGGCGTTAATTAACATTCAATTCACCGCAAAACCAATATGTTAAGAGAAAAATTAATAAAATGGACATTTTATCAGTTAAAAAATACACAAAACACTCTTCGTAATCACAGCATTTTTGTTTTAGCTAGGCCTATTAAAGATCACCGTATATAACAAAAATGTCAGATTCTTAAAAGACTTAAAAAGTACAGTTTTGTATTAATTATACGTTATATTCCTCTCTTTTAAAACAATTTTCTCGTGAATTGAATAATAATCAGGACCATTACAGGTAAAAACCTTGATATATTTACCTCCTACCAAAATGGCCGCCATAACGTCGAATTGCGAATCTTATGAGTCATGATGAACGCTCATTCTTGTGATCTGTAGTCAGCTCCTGTGTCTCAGCTTCTTTTGTTTGTCCTTGCTTTACGTTACCCAAGCAAAGCAAGGTTCTTTTGAGGGCATTTCTGTACTTGGGAAGTCGCCAGCAATAAATGAAAGGATCGAGAAGAACTTTGAGAAACAAAACGTCGTCACTGACACGAAGTGCGATGTTGATGCCGAGTTCTTCTTGGAATGATATTTGGTGATTTTTGCTGTAGCGATACAAAAACAAATAAAAAACGATGATGTGTGGAAGTGAACAGAGAAGGAGAATTGCTGAAAGCATTAATGTGACAATTGTGAGTTGTCTTTGGTGTTTTGATGCTTGGCTGCTTGTCTTTTCCTTGTCTTTCTTCTTAACTATACAAGTACYTTCCGTGTTGCCTTGACTGGGCTTCTTGCTCGTTTTACTCCCTTGAATGCTCTCAGACTTCTTGGCGTGTCGATAGAAGGAAATGAGAACAATTCCATGGGATATTAGTAATAAAATGGGGATTAAAGTGGCGTGAAGATACAAGTCAATCTGATAAAATACTACTTTGGAGACATTTTTGCTGAGCTGGATGAGACTAAACGCCGTGAAGTACAAAACTGAACACACGACGCATGCAACAACTCGCTTTGCTGTTATCCATATCTTGTACTTGTGAGGAAAATTAATGGCTATAAACTGTGAACACGACAAAGCGAGAACGATCAGAAAGGAAGAACTCAGGCCAACCGTAGAAACAAACTTGGCAATAGTGCGCAGAACCACGTGTGGACCAGTATTGGTAATACCCTTTAAGTAGTTAGTAAAATAATACACAGCAAAGAAAGGTTCTACAGTCAACCCTGTCATCAAATCAACAATGGCTAATCCCACTATAAAGTATGTGATCGGCGTACGGAAACACTTCAACGGGTCTTTATAAATCGATGCAAGAAGAAGACCATTTGCTCCGACTGTAACAGGAGAAAGGAGCGATAGGTAAATAGCGGAGAAGAATTCCGTCAGTAAATAAGGTGTTATGTCCTTCTGTGGTGCGCTGGTGTTGTTTGACATCTTCTGTCTTGATTAAACTTGCCTTCTGGTTGCTCTTTATTCAGTCTTTTTATCGTCTGGGTTAATTTTTTCTTGTCACAGCGGAAGGCAGTTTGTAGTAATTTCTGGGCGCGGACTCTCAGCGGTCTCTAATAGCTCAAAATGGTCCGTGTTTATTCAATCGCATAAGATTAAATGCCCTTTTCCTTGTGAAAGTGACGTTGTASTTAGGTCCTTATCACCAGCGTCTGTAAACTGAAATCGAATTTAAAGATTTGCATGAGTTAAGGGACGACGCTTGCAAATACTTGACAGCACAGGTACAATATAGTATAATAGTGTACTACACAAGGGTAATATAGCCTCGCTGACAATATTCAGGGCCCTATAACATATTGAAATTTATGGCTATTCTAAGACTAACTATCAACGGATGCAAACACATAATATTTCTTGACATCTATTAATGTCAATATCCTACAATTACAGTATTTGAATAGGGATTCGATTGCCTATTCACGTTGCCGGATGAAGGTTTTTTCAACAATTTAAGAAAGACGATTGTCCTACGATGAATGTATAGACAAATCTATCTAGAAAAATCGACCTACAAAGCCGACACAATTTCTTTTTTTCGCTTATCAATTTCGGATTCCACTGAGATAGGAATAATTTAATTTTTCTACCCTTCCACTTTATGTCACTATTTTATCACATTTTGACGTACATCTGATGCATCTTATCTTCCGTCAAGTGAGTTGTGAATATTTTGCTTTTAATTCACAATCATTCAGGAAGCAAAAGTTTTCTTTAAAAACGCRCTGTATAGTTAAGTCGGCTCGTTAAATTTAATGACTATTCTATTTTCTGAATTTYACATCCCATTCATTTTATTGTTTTTCATTTTTTCAATATTTCTAAGATATTTTAATAGCAGTTGTAATCTTGTTTTTGAGAGCTTTCAGTCTTTAAGTGTGGCACTTCATTGAGGGCTCTTGGACTGTGTGCTTCAGATCGTTTGCTTTAATTTCCACCGCGGCAAGTACTCGCCTAGAGCAAGTTAGATACATTGGCCCTTGTGAAGCCGAGTTGAAATTTAGAATGTTGGATTTGCCGCCATAAGAGAAGAGTTTTCCGTGTGACAAGTTTTGATGGCTTTTTCCCGACAGTTAACTATTTTTGCCCTCCATTTTTTTCCATTTGTGAAGTACTTCCCTTTGTTTTACAAGGAATACTTCACCGAAAAGAAAGGCGAGAAATTTACTATAGCTTACGCGCTTCCGATGATCGGTTTTTGTTAAGGTAATTTTTCAACTTAGTTTTTTTAACAACACTTGATATTTGGCTGACACTTCATTAGTGTGCGGACTTCTTTTAAATATGTTTACACTAAAGTGTAGGAGCGCGTACCGATCAAACAATTTTTTTTCAGTTTCTCAAATGCAAATAATGAGAACTTTTTAGCTATTTTTGAATTTGCATTTGAGGAAATCGACAAAAAAATTGAGACTAGACAACTCTATAGAAATGGTAAGTTTTTTACACAGCGAACAAAATATATACAATGTGTGTCTTAAATCGAACTACACCGAAAAAAGTGACTAGAGATCGTTTCTATTTCTTGCCTTTTTCAACACTTACTTTCTTTATGAAAAACAAATCACCATTTAGTAACGCTTTGTTCAATCATAGCATTTTATGCGCACTTCTAACTTTTATTTGTGGATTTGAAGCCAAGCGTTTTATCTAAAAAGCCAACTTTTCCTAATATCTATTGTTGCAGCGTTTTCCGCTTAAAAACAATCTACCCTTAATGCAATTCGATCGTCAAATATTGGGTCACGTGAGTCGGAGCCGGCGGTGCACTTGAGATGTCAGAACTATTTCTCGACTTTGTTGTTTTGAGTATTTGTCGGGGAAAAAAAGCTTTGTTTTCACCCTTAGCGACGATATGGCCAGTTTTCCTTTTTTTTGATATACATTAAATCAATATTTTTTGTCCTCATACGGCTGAACAGAACATTTTGATAGATTGGATCGAAAAATCAGACTTCAATCGTCGCGTATCTCAGCCCAGGCTCTGACTCATACAAAAGCGCGAGATGCTTTTTTTTCAAACGTGATTCAGGATGYAACCGATTATTTTATATGGAATTAGACGCTTGCTKAAATATCYGGCTGAGCGCAAAGTGTGTGGTGTGTATGAAGGATGTTCACCACAAAGTGTTTCACAACTTGTTTGCTATTGCATGAGAAGTCAAAGCCGAAAGTCATCAATCATAGTACAACATCAAGTGTGCTTGGTTGGATTGTGAATAAAGTAATACTATCCGGCCTGCGCTGAGGGTAGAGTACTTGGAATCCTATTTTAAGTTCTTATACTTGAAACATTGAATGATTTACTTTTCAAAGCATTCAAAGCATACTCTAGGCTCAATTTAAGTTGTTTTGTTCTCTTATACACTAGCTTTCTTGTAAATCTGTGATTGGTTAACTATAGCGAAATAGTCAATCGCCGTTCACTGACGATTACATTATTGTCTCTGGACAATCATTTTCCTCWTTAGTTAGACACTCCCATCTTCCCCCCTGCCCGACCTCCAGGGGCTGTATTAACCGTAAAGAACGTGCGCAATTTAATAAACTGAAAAAAGAAAATAGTTAAGTGAGATTTTCTTGGCTTTTACTGAGCGAATTCCGTGTGTTTCCAGAGACGGTCCATGAATGAAAAAATATATTCTTGACACAGATTTTAGTTTAATGCAAAGCAATTTTATCATAGCGCAGAACAGGAACATTACGAACAAACAGAACTCTTTTAGATACTASGTAAAGCGGATGTATTGTTAGTAGAGTGAGCTCATTAAACCCGTGAAACAAAATTTGACTATTAACTGATAGTCAAATAGACTCAATGTAAAGAATGGAGCTTACGAAGGTTTACTAGTGTAATATCTATTTCACGGATTTTTTACTTCACTCAAATCTGTTAAGTCAAGTATAGTACAAAATAAGTACTAAATAGCAACTTTGTTTTAAGTAGTAATTATTATCTTTTTTACGGATTAGAGTTAAGTCAAAAAACCCGTGAAATAGATATTACACTAATACACCTTAGTACACTCTAGCTGTATTGTTATTTTTTGCAGTATTCAGTATTCAACGTTTCTGAAATAGATGCAAAAAAACAAGGGCGGATATCACAAAACATAGTTTCGATGTCCTATAGTTTTAGCAGGGGCCATCTCTTGGCCTCCCGTTTGCGGATATGCTTACGGATGGACGTTTTTCCTTTCAATGATTGATGTAACAACGTCAAAATTCTAGAATATGTGCCTTAGTACAGAAGGATTTCTTACGCTATTTTATTTTTATATTTTTATATTTATTTATATTATTTAGTAGTGACCCCCCACCTCCCCTCCCTCCGCCCTCCCTAACAGATAGATATTAGACATTATTTTTTCTTTGAATTATTTTTACTATGTATAAATAAAACTGATACAAATAACAACGTTTATATACCGGTCGGGATTACGTGTTATTTCATGGTGTACAGAATTAGGTTCTGAATTTTCTATGGAAAAGAATCAAGCATCATGTAGAAGTAATGACTAATGCCGTYGAATATGTCATCAAAACAACGGAAATGGATCTTTTGTTTGTGTGGAGCTGGAGTTTTAGCTGCTTGCGTCGTTCTAATGCAACAATTTGACATGCAGTAATTTCTGTTCTTCTGTAATATTACCAATAATATTAGTAGTACTATTTACTTCAGAAGAAAGAATTCAAAAAGGATTTTCAAAATATCACCAAAAGGAAAAAGAAAGAAAGTAAAAAGGGAGAAAGAAAGAAAGGATGGAAATGAAATCCGGTGCGTTAGAAAGGGTTATTTCTTGTCGGGGATACCTTCCAGGGAACCAACTAATCCCGGTATCTACCGAGTGGCCCTGAGTATGACAATTGGAAAAATTAGGGAGCTAAGCTAAACGAGGGATGAACACGTYTGAAAATTAGCTTCTTCTCATGTCATCATTTTCAGTTTCTTCTTTTCCTTTTCTAAATGTACTAGTAAGTAGTTCTTAAGATATTTTATTTGATATGTTTGGTCACAAAAAATACCGTATTTTAGTGCGATAGTGCTTTCAGCTGCACTACCTACACGTCACTGAATTTTTAATAGACAAAAATGATCCGCTTTTGGTCCATATAGCACTCTAAGACGATATAATTAACAGGATAGAATATGAATTGACTTCAATTATCCTTTTTTATCATATAATTATCTATGAAATACCTATAGTATTTCAGTCCATTTCGTAAAATTGATATTTTCACTAGTGATCAAAATAACAYATTCGATGTTTCTCTACATAGTGTTAGTAAGAAAAAAGGGATTTTACGAAATAATTTGCTTTCATATGTAATTATATGATAAACAGAATATTACATGTTCGCTTGGAGATACGAATTTTATCTTCTCGTGTTGAAAATTCGCTACGCTCACTCKTGAGAGATCTTTTCAACACTCGAAGATAAAATCCGTATCTCCGCACRCCCATGTAATATCCTCTATATATCGTTCAAAAAAGATTTCGATTAGAAAAAAATCTACCGTTATATATTATGAATCTGGTTCTTGTGGTATTTTCATAAAATGTTTACACTCAAATGGAGCGATTTTCAACCGCTTACACATCCGAGTGTCATGTCGCATTCATTTGATTACATTTTAATTGTTTATAGGAAATGAAGTTGGATTAACAGAAATCTACCATTAACTRAAAGTTCCCCGCACATATCCCCACACATTTACATATCCCCCTACTTAACAAACAAACAAACAAAAAGATAGAACAGATGGAACTTTTCAAATCTAACTTAGTCGTGTTCTAAAACGCTCGATTCGACAATCATCGAAGTCGTACAAAATCAATTACGAACGACAATCGAATAGAAGCAAATGATCGAAAATCGAASTTTTGARTACCGCAAGAAATAAGTCGAAACAAATCGGTTGATTCAGGATTCAGTGATGTCGATGATTATGTTCGACAATCGAACTGACGAAAACTCATCAAAAATTSAAATCAACTGAGAACAAATTTGTGCTGYATTATCTCATAAACTGTTCAGATTCGTGTTTGTTTGACTATAGGGGTGACGGYTATAAACGGTGCGGTGTGTTCACGTCTGTCATAATCAGAGCCGAACAACGGAAGAATACAAAACACTTTTCATKTTAACGAAKTTTT